AGAGAGAGAGAGAGAGAGAGAGAGAGAGAGAGAGAGAGAGAGAGAGAGTAGCAGCACGGCTGCTGCACTCAACGAAGGGGGTCCCGGTGCTTCATCACCGTACCCCTACCTTAAAGGTTCTACACCATCTGCGTCACACTTGTACGTACGGGTAATGTATCCACCATGTCCGTAGACCCACGAACACCCTCCCTGGTTCTTCACGCGAGTGACTAACCATCAGTGGGGCAAAAACACCCCGGATTCATCAATAAAAAAACCATACGGTGGTGGAGGGAAAACCCGGCCCCAGGGCAAAACCCCTCCAAAGAAAAACCCCATCCAACACAAAAAACCATTGCTATCACGGCGGATGTACAACGGCCGCACTTATCAGAAAGACCAAGGCGAAGACAAGATCGCAAGGAACTACGTTCCCCCGGACGATGGCCTCCCAACGCCCCCTACTCCTGCCATGGGTACACAGACCGCGACAGTAATGCGACTTTCCCGCATGGTAAACATGGCCCTTCCCAAGTGCTAAAAACTGCTAGCTACTCCGGCAAATTCATCAACTTGCGCCGGTGGTACTGCAGACTGCTCTTGCTGAGAGCCTTGGTAAGCAGATTGGCATGCTGCTCCGACGTCGACACAAGCTTGATTGAGATGTCCCCCGACCTAGACATNGCATGCTGCTCCGACGTCGACACAAACTTGATCGAGATGTCCCCCGACCTGAACAATCCACGAATGAAGTGGTACCTCACGTCGATGTGCTTGCTACGCGCTGAGCTGAGGGGGTTCTGCACCAAAGCCATAGCCCCCTGATTGTCCTCAAGGACCTGAATGCTGCTGCCACTGGTCTCTGGGGCAATAAACGAAAGCACTGCACGCACAAACAAAGCTTCCTTCACACCCTCCCCGGCAGCAATGTACTCTGCCTTCGTAGACGACAAAGATAAGTGGCTGATGACGGTCCCTCCAACCGTTGTTGCCAGCCCTGACACGGAACGCCATCCTCAGCGTCGGCGTAGCTAGCGTCCACGTACACCGCCAGCCCCAACCCCGATCCCCGTTCGTAGGTGATCCCGAGGTCCCTCGTCTCTTTGAGGTAGGCGAGGATCTTCACGATCGCCTTCCAGTGCCTCTCGGCAGGGGCATGGGCATGGCGCGCTACCGCACGCACGGCGAACGAGATGTCCGGGCGCGAGAACGTCGACACCCACATCATGCTGCCGATGGCCTCCCTCACCGGCCACTCCCCTCCACTCTCGTCATCCCGCTTCGGTCCTCTGTCGGCACCAGGGGAAGCAGGGATGGAGGAGGTCGATTGCATGTCAAAGCGATTCACGATGCTGTCAATGTACGCGGTTTGGGAGATTCTAAGGGTCCCAGCCTCT